AGAAACTGAATTGGAAACGTTTGTAAAGGCTGTTCCGAATTTAAATCTTAGACAAACCTTCGTACGAAATCTCTGACGCCGTTGTTTTAAATTCGAGTCAGCAAAGACTGACGTAAGGCTTCGAAAAATTTGTAAAAAATGTTCATGTCAAAGGATGGTTCTAGAACAAAAGTGTCAGGATTATGGTGCTCCAAAATCCTGAGATTGTGGAAAAAACGACATCTACGATGAGATTGTTAACAATGCCCTAGAAACAATTACTATCGTCATTGTGCAGCAACATGGAATAAACAATTAAATGGTGACCCCGCGTCACGACCAACTGTTTCAAACAAAGGCTTAAAATTTATATTTCGCGGGGCAGAAGTTGGCTGGTATAATTGACGCCCCCAGTACCGTGATTAAGGTCTTTAGGCTGCATCGAAGTCAATACTTTGATTGGATGGCAAAATTGGTTCACAAAACTGTTTAATTACGATCGACACCGGGGCAACGAGGTCAATTTTAAGATCCGATCTCGTACCCAACCTGAAAAGAAAAAATTTTCATTAATACATTCTGCGAATAGGTACAGGAGGAACAGCGCCCGTCTACGGAGAAATTTCATACACTGTTCAACTAGGTGATTTAGCATTCGATAGCAGATATCACTGATGAAAGGCGTTAATTTTTCTAACAAAACATGGTTTTAAAATTGATTTAAAATCGCTTTTACGCGTCCTTAGATGGAAAAATATGGAGATACTAATGAGGACCAACGATGTGAAATGCTTTCGAGGGCACATTCTTAATAGCAGATATCACTGACGGATGCATAATAGGCATTAATTTTCTAACAAAACATAGTTTTAAAATTGATTTAAAATCGTTTTTACGCATCCTTAGATGGAAGACTACAGAGATAGTAATGGGGACCAGCGATGTGAAATGAATTTGTATAAAGGTAGACTAAGACTAAATATCTAAATCATCTTAAGTATCTAAAGATCAAAAATAATTGGTGATATTGAAGACCACGAATTCTAACTGGTTGAGCCAACGACGACGATGGAAATTGACAACATTGTTATTGGAACAAGTCTCGTAAAAGCAGATGAAGATAACGTTGTTCTAGTTGGGTGTTCTGTTAAATGTGGCAGAACATTCCGTTAAAATTAAAAAGGACCAAAAAAATAGAATCTTGTCAATCTGTAAATATCGTGAAGTCTTTGGATATTCAACATCAGAATAATGGTCGACAAGTCGATTAGGATAATCAGGAAAAGCTTATGGAGGTGAATTCAATTCAATTTGCAACAAGGAGATTGTTAAAAGTCGATTTTGCAGATGTTTTTTCAACCGGAGACGTTAATCAAGGAAAATGGACCTGTTACTCATCAAATTGATACCCAGGTGCCAAATCAGAAAAGTACGCCGTCTTCCACTAGCAAAACAAGAAGAAGTAAACGAAATAATAAATAAAATGCTAAACCAAAGGTCATCAAACCGTCAACTAGTTCTTAGACCTCGCTAGTTATTCTGGTAAAGAAAAAAGACGGCAGCACCCGCTTTTGAGGGACTACAGAAAGATAAACAAAGTGGCAAGAAAAGATACTTATCCACTACCGAGAATTGATCACACTGGTTCTACAGGCTAGACTTGAATAGCGGATATTAACTGGTAGAAATCATGAAGAACGACCGTGAAAAAACAGCATTTTCAATCAGATCAGTTTTGTGGCAATTCGCTGTAATACCGTTTGGACTGTGTACTGCTCCGACTACGTTTGAATGACTAATGGATGGTATATTACGAAATCTCACATGGAAAACATGTCATGATATATAATTGTTTTAGGAAAGTCGTTCAACTAGCATGTCGAGAATTAACGAAATATATTTTTCAGACTTCCAACTGCGAACTTAATGCTGAACGTTAAAAAGTGCAAATTGTTTGCGAAAGAAGTAAATTTCTTGGGAAATGTCATATCTTCCAATGCAGTGAAAACAGATCCAAGTAAAGTAGAAAGGATTAAAAATTGGCCAACTTCGAAAGATAAAATTGTTTTGCGCAGTTTCTTCGGATAATCTACACACTACCGACGTTTCGTAAAGGATTTTGCAAAAATTCCACTATATCAATTCACGGAAAATGAATGAGCGTTTTATTGGAATTAGTTATGTGAAATAGATTTTGAACGACTAAGCCCCTTTGTTAGAATATCCAATCCGAAGAAAACCATTTATGCAATATACGAATGCAAGCAACTGTAGAATTGGATCGGAGAAGAAAAGGTTCTGGCATATTAGTGCGAAAGTTTTACAAAGCCTGAAAGTTACTACTGCGTAACCGAAAAAGAGTTGCTAGCGTTTTTCGTGGCAACAAAATATTTCCACCAGTACATTTTCAGACAAAAATTTCTTTTTCGAACGGATCATGCAGCGTTAAAGTGGTTGCTCAATTTCAAAAATCCAGAAGTACAGGTGGCACAACTGGAACTATTAATAATGTATAACTTTGAAATAATGCACCGTAATGAAACCTCCCACAACAATGCCGATGCTCTTTCTTGTCGACCTGGTCACCAGGTTGCAGATACTGCAGTCGACTAAAAGAAAAAGTACAAACGGGATGTACGAAAAATTACGATAACGGCAGATACAGAACTAGCTGGCGCACAATCTGCAAACGAAGACTTACAATACGTCATTGCATGGAAGAAATAAGGCCAGCTACCTGAATATCAAGTGTTTGGTTGGTCGTTGTAAAACTTCTGGGCTCAGTGGGACTCCTGCATTGTAAGATGGGTTGCTAATACGGAAATTGGAATCAACAGATGAATCGAAACATCGCGTGCAAATTGTAATACCTAAGAATAAAATCGCTGAAATTCTTGTAGTTAAGACGCTTGACAGAATGTGTGAGAGTTTCTTCCGTGTTAATGGTCGAGAATATTTGGAAAGTTGGTGTCGAAAATGTAGTACGTGCGCGGCAGTGAAGGTTCCCAAAAGGAGGTTGAGAAAAAATGCAAATCTACATTGTTGTGTGGTGTGGCTGTATAATCCTCATCGAAAAAAAGACGGTCACCAAAGCTTCAACAAAATTGGGAAGGACCTTATCACATCATAACCCGATTGAACAACATCGTCTACCGAATTCAAGAACATCGGAAGCCATGGGCTAGAATGAAAATTGTTCAATTGGACAGACTGGCTCCACTCTATGCAAACGTTGCAACGAACTCTGTTTTTCAGGAAATAAACTTGAAAAATTGAAAAGTTCGTTTTAGATGAAGGAGGGCAGTGTTATAACCGTCACAAATATATTCGCTAGAGGCCTAGTGTCGCTACGAATGCATACAGTTCAAGGAGGAACTAGAACCTTCCGGCAGCGAGATATCTAGGACGTTCGAAAAGCGTTGGTAAAACGGGTAATTATAGGCATGCAAGATATTAAATGGGGGTTGTTGAATATTTAATTTTAGAAAGCGATTGATTATAAATGTCAAAAGCGACATTTGATTTTTGACCCTGTGTTGTTTTCTTATTGTATTTGCGAGTTAATTGTTATTCGAAAAGCGGTAGATTTTAAACGTTAATTTGATAGTTTGTAAACATTAACTTTAATTGGTTAAATTAATTGACATTGATTAATGACAAATTAATTAATAAATTTATTGTTTTGCAAGTAAATAAATCGATAATTTGGAAGTTTTTTCGTGTCACTATTTTTCACTGGGATTAAACTAACTCGTCCTCGACCTGCCAGTTTAACAATATAAATGATTATAAACAATAGTTTTTTTAACATGGGAAGTTAGTTCACAGTGGCTAAATCTATAAAAATTTAGAAAGATTAGATTAGAAAAGATAATTAATTTTGTACTTTATTTATTTCTTTAACTTCTGGTCTTTCGATCATTTAAATTATTGTAAAAAAAATTTTTTTCAGAAATATTGCGTCTGAAAATTTTTCAGGAAATAAACTTGAAAAATTGAAAAGTTTGTTTTATTATATTTGATAAATTTTTTAAATTTTTCAGGAAATAAACTTGAAAAATTGAAAAGTTTGTTTTATTATATTTGATAAATTTTGCCAAAACGGCCAGTTTTTTATTCAATGTTATTATCATTTGGTAAAGAGTTGTTTGGTTTAGCGAAAAAAAAATTTTTTTTATTTCTGTTTTTTAACTAACAAAATCGTTAGAAAATTGATTCATCAAAAAGACTAGAAAGTGCTGTTTTTTAATTTTAATACTGAATCATAACTAAACTTTAATATATAAAATTCGGTCATCTTCCTCTTCAGGTAGTTGACATTTTCACTCTCACGCATACGAACCTCGGTCACATTAACAACATTTTTCCCTAATTTATAGATTTTTTCATAGTTTATTGACTTTTTTGATAAAAAACAAAATATCAAAGTTGCTGATAAACTAGTTTTTGATGGATGTAGGTTAAATAGCAGCTGTTTGATGGATGTAGGTTAAATACCAGCTGTTTGTTTTCAATAGTTATAGAAGCACATGTGAAGAAAAGTGTGTTAAATAAGAGTATCATGTTGGACATCTTTCTTACTAACGTTTTGAAAAACTTTATTGTAATTTATTTACACTTATTCGATTCGGTTGATTCACTGATTTTTGGTAAATAAACACATCTTCCTAAAACAGGCTTGTTTAAACTTTTATTTAGATGTTAACAGTTATAGAAACGCTGAATCCAAACGCTAATCCAAAAAATACTCTCGATGTCGCACGATGGCCCCCTAGTTCACAGCGCAATTCCATAATTCGCAACCTCAACCTCTCTTGCTGTGTAACATGCATCTCTTATATACCTTATGTCAATTTTCCCATCAAACCACACCTCAAATGAAATACAGAAAAAAATAAATACAAAAAATACAAAAAAAAAATAAATACAAAAAAAATGAAAGGCTAGGCCCACCGCTTATAACTGGTGGTTGTCGTCAGGATGGGTGTCCGGATGTAAAAGCTTTTCCCCAAATTATTCCTATGCCATCACAAAGAAAAACAACAACCCCTAGTCCCCAGCAGGCCTTAAGTGGTCAAGGGGTGCCAAGAATCCCTGGAAAGTATGCAATAGCGGAGGGATGTTGCAGAAAAATTCAGAATGGTCCCTCTATGGTACTTAGACTTGGAACGCTCAATGTTGGATCACTGACTGGCCGCATCATGGAAATCGCAGAAATGCTCGAGCGTAGGATTGACATCTGCTGCCTTCAGGAGACCCGATGGAAATCGAATGGTGTCTGTCATGTCAACTCAGACAAAGAAAAATATAAACTATTCTGGAATGGTCAAAAGACGGCCAAAAATGGTGTTGGAATTTTTGTCAGAAAACTGCTAGCTCAAGAAGTACTGGATATTAAAAGGATTAATTCACGTCTCATGTGGATCAAGCTTCGCATTGAAAAGCAAACAATGATTATTTTTTCTGCTTACGCACCACAGACAGGCGAATCAGAAGAGATGAAAAATGACTTCTGGACTGCATTCTCTGACACAATCTCAACAATACCAAAATCTGAAACAATCCTGATTGGAAGCGATCTCAATGGCCACGTTGGAGAGAAAACAGATGGTTTTGACAACGTGCTATGGTTTTGGCTATGGAGAACGGAATGAACACAAATGCCTCGGAGAATCAAAACATGGAAGCTGAAAAGCAATATTTATCGAGAAAAAATTCAGCAGATTGTCACCACACGGTTAGACTACCAATCACAATCCAGTACAGATTGGAGTACATACAAAATCGTTTTGATAAAAGCTGCAACTACAGTTTGTGGGAAAACTAGTACAAAACTCAAGCATGAACAGGACACTTGGGGGTGAAATGACCGTGTACAAAATGCAATAGCTGAAAAGAAAGCTGCATTGTTTTATAGACTTGATCTTTTTCTGTTCAAATGCGTTTTTAATTTTTTTACTTTTGTTTTTCACCCACTTTTTATCTTTTTCGAGTTATCTCTTGATTTTACTCATCAACACATCTTTTTGGAATTTGCAGTTTTTTTTTACTCTTGCCTCTCATATTTCCAATGATCTTGTGATTTTTCCGTTTGTTCTATACTTTCATAAGATATTTCTTAGCTGCACCTGTATTTGATATATTTTAAGATGTTCTTTGATTTCTTGGTTTTCAACGTTTTCATGACAAATTTTGTTGCATAATAACTTAATTTTTCCAGTCACTATTTTGTAACATAACTTTTTTGCTGTAATCTCTAATTTTTTTTTGTTTTATGGAAAACGGAATGAAGATGGCAAACGCATCCTTGAGTTTGCTGAAAGTCACGGGTTTTGTTTACTGAACACATATTTTAGAAAGAGGCTGGAACATCTCATAACATGCAAAAGTGGACCATCAGCCACGCAAATTGATTTCTTCGCTGTCAAGCAACCACACCGAAGGCTGTTCAAAAACGTCAAAGTTATACCTGGCGAATCATGTGTCGCCCAACATAGACTCCTTGTGGCAGACCTGGTTGTGGAACTGTCAAAACATAAGCCTAAACAAATGCCTCGGAGAATCAAAACGTTGAAGCTGAAAAGCAATATTCATTGAGAAAAATTTCAAGATTGTCGCCACACAGTTAGACCACCAATCGCAAGCCAGTACAAATTGGAGTACATACAAAACCGTTTTAACGAACGCTGCAACTACAGTTTGTGGAAAAACTGGTACAAAAAGTCATCATAAACGTGACACTTGGTGGTGGAATGACAGTGTACAAAATGCAATAGCTGAAAAGAAAGTTGCATCTTGTATGCAATGGCAAAATTCAAAGTCTGTAGATGACCATAAAATTTTCCGTGAGAATAACAACTATGCAAGACGTCAAGTTGCACTGGCACGGACAGATCAGTGCAGAAAGTGGTTCACTAAAAGCAAATATGAACAAATAAAATCTCTGTATCGTATAGCAAAACAAACAAAGCGTACGAAAAAAGACATAGTTGGTGCCTCATGTATCAAAAACGACAAAAATGAGATGGTTCTTGAACAAGATGAGATCAAGCTACAGTGGAGAGAATACTTCAATCGTCTGTTAAACGAAACAAATCCAATCAATGTTAACTTTGACGCTCCACCCATCGAAGGTCCGATTCCAGACATCACTGTAGAGGAGCTTACAGAAGCTCTGAAAGCTATGAAGGATGGAAAGGCAGCAAGGCCCTCTGGACTCACAAATGACATTATCAAAGCATCTGGTACTGTGATGGAAGAAATCACTAAACCGATACGCACTGGTGACATTTGGAATCTAGTAT